ACATATTAGAATTGACATGTAATTAAGTAGATTTCTACTGATAAAATTACATCATTTTAATCAGTGAGCTGATAAATAATTTTGAATAACTTAAATTGTTAAAGAAAAAAATCATTATTTTTAGTTAAATTATCTACTTTTGTTAAAATTTAAATTTCAGATGTCTATAAGAAAAAATTGTGCCCATGTATTTTTAATATTTTTTAATTGATATAACAACAATTTGTGACTTAATTTTAAGTTTTTGTCATTGAAAATCGTTTTTATTATCATTTATAGGGAGAAATATCTTAAAAATACTTAAAATATTTTATAAATTACATTATATACCTAAAAGAAATAGAATATAAATACTTATTGAATATTTCAAGTGTTTATCTATGGAAATTTAATTTTAAATGACGTACAATAAAAAAAAATTTATTTTGTTGAAAATTGATTAACTAGTTATAAATATTTAAAATTTAGATGGGTGAGGTGGACTGGTACAGAAGTATCACTTAAATATTGGTCTACTGTTTTAATTATTCATAAGTTATAATTTAAATTAACTATTAGTTCAGAAATTTAAATTTATAAATAATAGTTCTAACAAAAACAATTTGCTATGGATTTTTAATTAAACAATGAATGGTTTCATTCAAAAAAAATATAAAAAATAAAAATAATAACGGTAACAATTTATAAAAATGTTATTACTTATAGTTTATAAGATTATACAAAAAACTATTTTCAAAAACAACGTTAATACTTTTCTAGGCGTAATTAATGTTTACTTTAAAGTAATCACTAATCACCTATAATAATGATATAATTTGTAGTTAAAAGAATTACAATACCTATCTATGCACTGTACGGTAGTCCAAGTGATGAATACCATAAACGTGTATTTATATGGTGATGAAGACTGATCATTTAAATGAAAAAAAAGGTTCTGAACTGTCAGGATATATAGATTCTGGTTGTTGGAATTTACTCAATTTGTTGAAAGTCTCAGCCATTGCAGTATTGTATTATTATTATGAATATGCGATGTGAATGATTTATCATTATTTTTTTTTTACGTTTAAGTTAAAAATCGTTTCTGTACTTGGTTTATCGAAAATGATCCAAACTCATTACAATCCTGACCTGTTTGGATGCTTTATTTACAGTTATTTTTTTTTCAAATTTTGTGATGGTCAGAAAAAGTATTTGAAAAAACTAAATAAAACACCCAAGCAGGTCGAGATTTTAACGAGCTGGATCATTTTCCGGTAAACCAAGCAATGACTTTTCTTAAGTAGGTATTTTATTATAATCTGTGTTCAATTTCAAAACGATTGATCGAAATACATTATAGTAGTATGGCGAAACGCCCAAAAATGCGTTTACAGAAGAAATAAACCGAGTAAAAAAAAAGAACAAAACAAAAAAAAAAAACAAACAAACAGAACGACACTTATTGTAAAACCAATTGATCAGCTACTCCAACATTCCGATCTAAAATAATATGTTTTTAACCTAAAGGTCAAAACGATAGACTTTAAACATTAAAAATTTGAGACACAAAAAAAAAATAATAATAATAATTTTTGGTCCATGTAAATATAATGTATATAGAAAACGCATAATTTTGTTTCATTTGAGATTATATAGGCATGTACATGGGAACAGCATATTTATATCAAATATATACTATCAATTTTATTTGTATTTGAGAAAGTTGATTGATTGTGCAGGTATTCAATTATTATAGTACCGTAATAACTTATTTTTTGTGAATAAATAATCGCGATAGAGCTGTATAGAACCTACAGATGTGAAATATATAATTAATAATTATAGTATTATACATCAAACAATATTATATATTTTTTTGAATTTCATGGAATGTAACAAAAGACAACAAACCGATGGAAGTTAAATAAAGTTGGAGTATAATATATAAAAATATTGAAAAAATTAATTTTGTGAATTAAAAAAGTATAAAATATAAAAAATAAATATATATTATATTTGAAATATTTTTACTAATTATTGACCAAAAATACGATAAAAATAAAGTTAAAAAAAAATAATTCGATTAAAGAAATATATTATAATTAAAAAAAATAAATAAATATAGACATTAAAGGAAAACAAAATTAAAATATTAGAAAAATCTTAAAATTCAGAAAATACAGTTAATTATAAAAAAAATCTTAATTAAAATTTTTCTTCTTTGTATTAATTAATATTTATTTTAATTATCACTGTTAAATTTAAGTAAACGCTTGTTTATTATTACTGGTATGGGAGTTTGTTTAGGATCATAAGAATAAACGAAAAACCATCAATCCGTTTCCAGTATCTTAATGAACTATTACCTTATTATGTTTATAATAATAATATTATTTATTTTATTAGTTCTTATAATGCTGTTGTATACGTACTTGAATTTTTCTCCTAAAATATCCTATTATCTCATAAAAAATATTTTACAAAGTTAATCGATTTATTTGTTGTATATAAAAACCATATTTCGTTGTAAGATCTATTGAAGATGAAATGAAAGGGGTTTCGGATTAACATTTATTTTAGATGAGATAAACTGCCTAGTGCCTGTATTGTTATTATAACTAACCAAAAGAGATGCACGCCTATGCCCAGTATTTTTGAAAATGAGAAAAATCCGAAACGGCTTTCTTTGACGGTCACGATGATAAAAAAAAAAAAATCAGAAAACGTTTTGTGAAAAAAAATGTATAGTTGCAGTGTATATTTCATAACCACCACGTGTGCAGTGTTACCTATATATAAGGTACATACGTTGGATCAGATATCGACTATCAAGTGAATAGTCATTTATTGGTAAACGGTATATTTGTACGGTATTGAACAATTTGACTAATGTACGTGCACGTTTTCACAAGAGAAAAAAAGTTTGAAAAAAATAGGATGAAGCATGTGGCATTTATTATCGGTCTCTGTCGTCGAATCGGATAAGGTTTCCTGAGAAATAATCCATACGCGCGTAACACCATCATAATCGAACGAAACCTCACCAGTCACACATGTGGTGTTTATTCGTAAAAGAGACATTTACTCAAAAAAAGTCACGATTTATTTATATGGTGTTTTTTTTTAAGCACGATTCCCTCATTTTTATGTTTTTGTATCCATATATAAGTATATACAATTATTCAAATTCTGACTTTTGACAGTGTTATACTATTAATATAATACATTAATAATATAGTAGATCATATTTTCAAATATACTTAGATTTTTACGGTTTTTATGGATTGTCTTGTTACGATACAAAAACCATAAACTTGTTTTTTTCTAAACAAGAAAATGTCCTTCAATTGTTATTTGTTAAAAAAAAATACGAATTTTTTTAGAAGTCACTCGTTTTATAATAAAAGTTTATATTGCCATAAATTAAAACATAGTAGTACTTAAAAATCGGTATAAATGTTACTATATTAATACATGCGACGAGACATTTTTTAACTATAACTATATTTTATACGTCATGTGCGTTATCTGGTTATTGTATTGATAATATTACGTACCTATAATTATTTATTAAATTACAAGCGAATCGTATGTTTTGTGTCGTGTCTCTGTTAAAAAGATTTTAAAGTTTTTTATAAGCAAAAAATATTTTTTTAAATACATCTATTGTACAATCAATAACCTAAAAGTCGGCTTAAAATAAAAAATGAGTGAATGTACCGGTTTATAGTTCTTGGATGTCTGATCCTTCACTACAGTAGATCATCATTCATCTGCGTTTATTTTTTAAAACACTAATAGAATGTTTTCTCAAACACATAGACTTAATTCTAAATAATATACTGTTGTCGTTTAAATAGAATTTTATATTATTTCATTAGATGTATGCATAATACTTTTAATTAATACAGAACATTTTATTATTTAACGTTTATATATTTTTTAAATTATAAAAAAACATTGTTTTTGCGGTATTTGTTTTACATATAAAATTTATCAATTTTTATGCTTTTTGTTTTATAATATTTTATCAGTAATTTTGTGAATTATTATATATAGTATAAAAAAATTAATTAAATTTTTATGAACATCTCAATTTATTCGAATAACGAATATTAAACTAACAAAAATGTATTTAAAGTTTAGACAAGTGCTGTAGGAGTAGTTGAAGAGTTGTACGATATCGAGGAGTATTACCTGCTGTCAACTCATATCTGACTCTTGAATAAACTTTAAATGCATAAAAAAAACGCTGGTTCAATATTTGATATTCATATTCGTCGGAATTTCCATAAAAATACTTCATTTCGGAATATATTCGTAAAATTAAAAATATCACTCATCATAAAAAAATATAAATAAATAATAACATCAATAACTAGATTAAAAAAATAGTAATATCTACGTTAGATTTTTTTATGGAAATACAATATTTTGAATGGAAGCGTTATGTTTAAAAATAATTCCCTTATTGTGCATGTATTACAATTTATTAAAATTCGGTAAGTTATTCTTTTAATTTTTAAAAGATAACTAAGTTTAGAAATTTACTCTTCGTTATTTATTTATAGTAATATATTATGCAGATAGTTACACTTTTTTGAAATGTTAAACTAATATAAATTATATATAAAACCAATTTTGTTTATATCTAACACTAGTTTGCATCAAAACTAATTTATGTTTAACAACGGATAGTCTAGGCGATAAGGACAATTTATACGCATCTAATAAAGATGTTTTAAACAATAATAATATTATAAGCAATATAGGTACATATTATGTAATATATTAATTTTTTGTAATATTAAAATAATGAATTATTTTATTTTACAGTATAAATACCTATATAGGTATAATTTGATGAGAAATACACCAAGCGATATGATAATATCGTTGCATGAAACGAATTCCTAACTTATATATTATTTTATGTATTTTCTTATAGTTTTATTAGAAATTAATACTGATATATTGTGTATTATAATATTTAAATATATTTGTATAAAATGCCTTACCTTGATGAATCTAGGGAATCGGAGTATGGGGTGCACGCCTATTTTTAACTGTATCAGATCCAGTGGCGTGAGTGCTATGAGATCGAACAGGAACGATCGGGACCGGATATAATGACCGGCCAATTTGCTGGTATTGTATACCATCAGGCCTTGTTCAAGATAACCGGTGCGGAACTGGACGGCCACATCCAACAGAAACACGATGTCACTGAATGCGTCCATGGTCGACCACCATGGAGAAGCTATGCTCTGCAACTCTGGCAAACTTTGTCGGACAATGGCCGTCCACAGGTTGTACAGCGTGCAGCCTGTTAACACCATTAGCCAGTTGAAGTAGAAATTCTCGTCTGGATTGACCACGGACCACGGGAGTTTGTTCTGCTTTCGGCGTAACCGGCGTTTCCGGCGAACGTATTCGATGTTGTCCTGCGAGCCGGAACTACATTCTCCGTCATCGCCGGTGTCCAACGTCTCCTGAAAAATCGCATCCATCTCAATCAATAATCGCGACAGGTGTAACTTATCTCGTTGCTGTTATGTGACGGTTTTGTTATGTTATTATATATTTACCGTTCACTCATCAATATAGGGGACATAATCAGAGAAAAATTAAGGACCCGAGTGGCTTTGGATCAATATATATGTTTGGTATCTAAACTAATTAAGGAGCTATTAAAATAAATATTTCATGTTTATTATATAATACTATATGAATATGTGAGAACTGTCTCCTTACACATTTTCCACCTTGGAGAAAAATCTCAATTTTAAATCTATGTTAATTTGAACCTGAATATAATATAATCACCCGGCACGTCGGCAGGTGCAGACGAACGGGTGGTTGACTTATGATGTATAGGTGCAGTATACATAAACAATATACATATTACACCAATTGCAGCAATTTACAACAAAATAAGAGGATACGCTGGAATTTTGAGATTAAAATATTTTCCTTATTGGTTTTTTATATACATTTATATATACATAAAATATGCAATGGCTTATTGGATATTAAATTAAAAAGTAAATTCGTTCAGGAGTGATGATAAAATATTTTTCATAAGAAACGTAAGTTTAAAAATTAATACCGGTACACGTTCTAAAATTATAGACTCATTTTTTATTCTGTTTAAACATTTGGTTTTTGGATAATTTTTAAATTATTGTATATTTTTTTTCTTGAGATATTTATGTTTTATAATATTAAAAAAAAAAAACTAAATGAGACGCCGTTTATTTGAAATAAACGATTTTACAAAAAAAAAAATGTTTTGAATTAATTTATTTGTAAAAAATATACTTAGTTTTAGTAATTTAGTTAGAATAAAAATACTTTTAAAACAAATTTAAATTGCATTGTTATTAGTATTATTTTGAATGTTCCTATGACGTCAACAACAATAATAACAAAATTCATTTTTGAAAGATTTTTTCAAATTATTTTTTACATTGATGTTTACTTTTCATACATTGAAGTTTATTTAAAGGTTTATTTTTTACATAAAATCACGGACTATCGAATTGCTTTTTATTTAAAGCGTGCCTAAATCAATTTAGTTTGTATACCATATAAAAGAATAAATAATGTCATAATAATTAAATGCTAAGATAAAATTAATAACATATATTTATAAATTAGAATAGTAAAAAAAAATATATCCATAACTAATAAACACGTCGGAATACCCAAATTTTTGAAGAAAGTATCCGACGTCTATCATTGTTTCGTGTTTTATTTTTTAAATGGTGTTATTCGTAATGAACCTTACCTACAATACAAACAATTATAATATTACAATAAATAATAACTATTGCTCTAATTTTATAAGTATATTTAATTAATCTTGAGTATAATATTTAAATATTCTATTCAATGTAATATAATGTATTATTAAATATTATATTTATACTATATCAGTAAATAATTTCGTACTATCGGATAAATTTAAATTTAAAGTTTCACAGTTAAATGTTTAATTTAATGTTATACTAACTTTTGTTTACTTGAAGAGGGTTCTGAAACAGTTTACAATTTAACACATGGAGCTATATATTATGTGTGTATTGGAATTGAAATATATTTGGTGTAGTATAAGATCTGAAAGTACTTGAGTACATACAGACAGAAAAACCAATTAAAAGGTGCTAACCAAATAGAGATGCGGAAATTCTATATCAAAGTAAATTAAAAGTAATGACACCCGTAAGAACATTGTACGCAGAATTAGTGTTAAACTCTACTGAAAATGACAAATTTTCAAAAATAAAGGTATAAAGTGTTTAATAACTGCGAGTTTTAACAGTCACTTGAAATGAGTACACTTGCGTGTAAAAGCACTTTCTCTACGAAATTCTATAATATATTTTTAATTCAAACGGTATTTTAAATTAAATAATATGATGTAAGATAAGTATAATTCATGTGCATATAATAATTAGTTCAATAATAATAATAATAATTAATAATCAGATGTGTGATTGCGTCAGATCTCACATTTTTAAATTGCGGATAGCGCAGCGATATAATACATTATATTTTTATCGTCTTTACTTTTAAGAAAAAATAGTTTAAGATAACAGCAAATATAGGGAATATTATGATGTTTTTTTTTCCACAAAAACTAAATAATTTGAATAGCTTTCATTATTCTAGGGCGTTGTTGTTTTTGTGGTATAGATTTATATTGTACTGTAGTCTCTAATAAATTAGTTTGTTTTTATATTTATAGTATTGTCATTTGAATAAATAACCACAACTACTTAATAGTACTTTTGATGTTTAAATGAATAGGTAGTAAATTATATAAATTACTTTAATCATTAAAAATAAAATAAAATAAAAAGAATCATATAATTTACATGTTTATTTTGTGTAGGTACTCTAATGTATATATTTACACCTATCTTGATTAATCCTGGCCCAAGAATGTCTTCGATTAAATACGCTTACAATACTATCTTTGTGTATGTGTATAGGACGTGTAGTCACGTAAGTAATATATATGGGCGATAAATTAAATCATCTTTGTTGCTAGCGCTACCAAGTGAATATTTTTCAGTTGATATTTTTTATTTATTCGCTCCGGGTTATTTTTATGGTTTAATACTCGATACATATATGTATATACCTAGATAGCGTGGAACACAAGGGCGAAACTGCTTAAGCGACCAAATGCAGTTTAATAATAATAATATTATATACATAGCATATTTTGTAATGGTTTGTTCAAACAGATATATAGAAAGAATAAAATATGTATATAAAACCAATCCTTTGGTGGTAAGCTAGGGGACCTATTACAAGAATATCCTAAGCAAATCTTACACAGGGATAAAAAAATAAAAAATAAAAATAACCTCAGGTAGTACAATCTACCTTTATACGGTGGTTGCACGTATGCAGATAATCCTCAGTAAGTGCGTATTTTATAGTACGACGGTCGTAAAAAGTTTTGGTAAGGTTCAAAAACAATAATGATTGTTGACGGTGTCTGTTGGTGGTTGGATGAGGGCGAGAGTTTCAACGATCTAATTATGGGAATGTTTCATTGCTACGTATTATTAATTATTATTATTGCACGACAACGCCGCCCAATCGTACAATAATTCGAATATCATATTAATTAAATCGAAAATTTGACTAACGGAAATGGTTATGCAATAATTATTAAATTAAAACCAACAATATAAATTACCCACGACTGAAATGAATGTATAATAACTTAATTTGTTCACTGGATTGACAAGACGTGAAAAATCGTTGGTTTCAATCATTAAAAATTTTGTTTTCATACTTATTAAATTTTATTATTTACATCTACGTATTTTCGGTTAATAATTTTTCGTTATGAGTAATACCAATATACTATATTTATAAATTGTAGATGATGCATGATTAAAAATTAGGTGTGTTTGAAGATGTATTGGTAAAACATTCATAATATTATTCTAGTTAAAATCATAATTAAAACTAATGTTGTATTTTAACTGCGAAGATAATGTAAGATCAACTTATACTGATTTTAATAGCTGAAATCAATAAAATTATATATTTAGTCCTGTTTAAAATATGATAAATGATAATCGTACTTTTAATTTACTGTGCACTGTAAATTTGTAACTGTAAAACAATGTATTCGAATCTTTATATATAAGCAGTTTATTGTAGGTTTTGGAAGTATTTTTAGTAGGTAGGTATGTTTTAAAATGTTCATAGAATGGAACATGGCTGTAAACTTACTACAGTTATACTGTATGCAAATTGCTTTTTTTGTTGACTTTGAAATTATAAACTTGAAAAAAATTGAAAATTTACGGTGGATGACCCACGATTCCCTAAACCCTTTTGGGTCCATTGTTGTTGATACGTTTGAATTATCGTGAATAAATTACGAGTAGCGAATATATTTTTTAATCTTCGTTACATAAACATTAGGTTAGAGGTTTAGGTTAAAAGAAGCTATATCCTTTATAATATACTTGCATATATTTTAGAGATAAATGAAACAAAATGAAGAGAATTTAAGCACATTCAATATTTTTTAAAACGTCAGGAAATAAAATTTCAGATAAGTATACAATGTTAATTTACAACATAGTACACATGATGATTTTTTTAATAGCCTTAGTTAACTATTATATTTAAAAAAAAAGAAATTTAGGTATTATACTAACAAATAATGTAGCATAATATTTAAAATACTTTTTATCTTATTTTTTATTTTTAGTAAGTATCTAAGTTTACTAAGTGACAATTATAAAAGTTTTTATAAGAAGAATATTTGTGTGAACATTTTTAAGTTAAATTAAAAATAATACATGTTTTACATAATCTCAAATTTAGACTAGCGGAGTAAAACTTACAAAAGAATTTTTCACTTCACAATTATTTGCCAAATTTTGAAAATTTTTATTTTTATAGGTAACTTTACATGCGATTATTTGCAGGTCTTTTCATCATGAATTTATAAGTACTGAAGATTACTTTAGAAAATTTTGGTTATATGAATTCGTGATATACAAGTGTTTCTGTTTTTGAAGAAATAACAAATATTTGATTAGAAAGAAAAAAATTAGTAAAATATTAGACATGACAACACTTTGTTTGTGACGATGGGTGTTCATTAATTCAAGCAGCTCGCAATATATTATTATTTATTATTATCATCATCATGTTATATATAATAAATGTAACACCGAGTGTTATATATTATTAAGCGTACGATACGTCATCACACTCGGAAAGTGTATATTAATAATAAAAATAATAATAATAAATAATAATAATAATAATACAGAAAAATACTGCAGTTGTAGATAAAAAGTATATTATATGCTGATGATGAAGTGTGCGCACGTCGGATTTGATATTTTATTACAAAAAATGCATAATATTTGTAAACACATTGAACGGACACCCGATTCAGCAAACGGCCGATTGTAATTATCATATATATCGTAAAATGCGCCTG